CGTGCAATTAATCGCGACACCGTTCGGCAGCACCGACACCTCCACTTTGTAGCCATACAAGTGATGTTTGCCACTGTAACAGCGTAAGATCTCGCTCATGTTACCGCTGGGTTTGTTAGCATGCTGAAAGGTAACGTCCGTAGCATATCGAGCATACGGGAAGTACTTAAACGCATGCCCTGATCGTACAATCTTCCCCAGTGTCCACTGGTCATTCGCTTTCTCTACGTACATTTCGTAGAGAATAGGAGACAGTATATCCATAAACTTGCGGATCATTTTCTGAAAGGTGGATGGCGGGATTCTAAAAACTCGAGCAACGGTGTCCCATTTACCAAGATGTTTGAGTGAACTCAGCGTCATAAAGAAAACGTCGCGCGCAGCGTAGCGGCATTTTTTACCGCGGCCCACGTTCCATTTCCCCTGCAAATGAGGGTACACAGCTGCCCAAACATGATCGAACTCCTCTGGCGCAAAGTTGGTGAGCTTGAGCACCCCATCGGGCCCTTCAGCTTGTAAGCAGAAGTCAAAGACGGACGGCAAAGTTCCCACGCCGGAGTTGTCCCCTTCGTCATTGTCGTCTCTGCGGCTGGGTACGACGATTTGAGCGACCTTTGCCTTGCGACGTTCCTCCCGCTGAAATAACTCGGCAGTGGAGGCACGAAAGTCGGCCTCGTTGAGTGTCTCAGCGGCGCGGTCTTGGCGGTCTTGGGAGCGTACCATAGTAGCCTAATATTGTAGATTCAAAAATTCGGAAATGACCGAGGAACTGCATTATACATCTTGCATTATCTCAGCAAACAGATAGGGCGAATAATGGCTACTATCTCTTCGCATGCAAATTATGAAAATATATAGCGATCAAATCACCAGATGTTTCCTATCCACATGTGTAAACTCCATTCCAGAATTGTACTACAGCGATCCAGAATTCTAGAATGGTACTGTTACACATACTCTGTATGTACGAATGAGCTCTAGTAATAGTAGTATACACATTGAACAAGCAATTTGCCATTTTGAAGTTGAAAAGGTGTTGTACTATCTAATTACTGGATTTCGCTAGAAATCCAATGTCCAAGAAAACCTAGCTCACGAGGTCTTCATCTTGAAGACTTCGTCGCTCCCAATCGCGTCCGAAAGCAACAATTGAAAAGAAGGTGCAGATCCCGTGTCGTGGAAGAAGTTCTTGCAGACAGCTTGAATGTTCGAGCATATCTCACGCTTGCGCTGCAATTATAGCTGAGTTGCGTCAGCATATTGCCCGACGCCTGTTAAGTGGTAGCACAACTGTGTTGCGGTATTATATTACCATGATCAAGGATATCATACCCAACACAAATACTGTCGTGAGCACACAAGTGGGCTGGGGAATGGTAGATCCAACACGAGTCCGCAACCATAATCTCCATTCGACGAAGGGCACAAAGGGGTCGGAAGGGTGCACAGCCGGACTGCAGAGCCTATGTGTGATATAGCGAAATTGCAGAGTGAGCGAAAACTCGTGGGCTACAGGTCATATAGTAAACTCGTTAGTACAATATTACTTATCCTAGTGGTAGATGAAGCACTGTACTACCAATACCTGATTGCAATTAATGCATTAATAGTTCGAGTAAGCAAAAACACGATTTAAATATCAACTATTGTGATTTAAGAACATTTATTGAATATGAATTTAGAGCAAAAATTAGAAAAATAATTGTCAAAAATAGGAACCTTTTGTTTTTACAGAACTTCTGTAAACTTAAATTAAACTCTTACAAATTTATTTAATCTCAGTAAACTTATGCAAGCTCAAATCGAAATTAATGTCAGGCACAATTAGGCTTGCATAAGTTTACAGTATTGTTAGTTGCCAGTCAGGATAAATATACTTTAAAAAAATGGTACGATGTTACTACTTCCTCCATTCAAAAATGATTGAGACATTTGCACCAAAAGAAACGCAGATTTGTCAAAATTGCACGAATGTTCTCGCTGATTAGCTCAATCCGTAAAAGGCGATTAGAGCTTTGCAGCCATACAGATTTTATTTTTGTCGGCAAAAAATTGGTGGAGCTGTGATGGTTGGTGTGCGCTGCCCCGACAAATTCATTTTACATTTACCCGCTGAGCCGCTAGTTCTAAAGTTTTTGTGCCACAGAGATGCGGGAACACAACCTCACTGATCAGGAACGTCGGGCAATCGTTCAGGACATCCTGCTTGCATTTAGGGACGGCACGGTGCCACATGGAGCGTATGCGAGGCTAGCACGCAAACACGAGTGCCACTGACACACGGTTGAGCGAATTTGGGCGCGCTACTGCGGAAATGTAGCGGACGGTGTTGCTGACGGAGCCCCCGAGAGCAGGATCAACCAGAAGTCTGGCCGTAAACCGTATGATCGAGCAGAGCTGGCAGCAAAAATTGGTGCGGTTTCCGTGGCTGGCCGCCGGCGAATCGAACGTACTGCTGCTGCCGTCGGCGTCTCGACAGGGCTACTACACTTGCTACTCAAAGAAGGCCACATGACACGTCGTACGACCCGTATAAAGCCCCAGTTAACCGACATCCAGAAACTTGCGCGCATGCGATATACTGACCTTTATCGACGAGCATACCTTCGAGTTCGAGGGTATGTATACCATGGTGCATATGGACAAGAAGTGGTTCGACGCTGACGTCGACGAGCGACCATATTTGCTCCTTCCCGATGAAGAGCCACCCGCAAGACACCGTCAAAGCAAGCGGTTCGTGCCCAAGACAATGTTCTTGGCAGCTGTCGCACGCCCCCGGTAAGACCTCTCTTTTCTTATAAACTACTGAACCAACTGACATGAAATTAAATGGGTATTCTTGCTCTGAGTGCTGTTGGCGGGGACCCATTCCTGCAAACAAATAA